ATGTGCCAAAGGCTATAAGATGAATATTATTATTTACACTCAATATATTAATGACACTCATTGAACTAAAGCTTGACAGTGTGTATATAAAGCTAGCTATGTATCACATACCCAAAACAGAGGCTATCTCAACCAATACCAGGGTAAAGGAGGCAAGGGGCATGGTTTATGTAGAAAACCTAATAACAAACCTTTACTTAGTAAAACTAGGTCAGTAATAATCAGTAGAATGTGTCTACCTCATAGCCTAATGGGAAATTCAGGTATTATTGGTTCTGTGGGAGCATAGCAAATTCTCATGCATTTTGTGATTAATAAAGAAATCATAATGCATTTGTAAACAGTGAATCTCCTGGGATAAAATGTGGTAAACTTTTTGAAAAACATAGGCAGAAAGAAGTACTTTATTTATTTTTTATTTTAAGAAATGGTCTATAGGGTGTTTGGGGTCTCATTACTAGATCAGACTCATAGTGATTCTCTTGTTTTCAACCTCCCAAACGCTGGGATTATGGGCATAAGCCACCACACCCAGTGTGAATCGCACCCCCCAGGGGCAGGGCCGGCATGGTAAGCTGGGGTTGATTTGCTTTTAGTGCATGGTTGAGATATGGGTTCAGATCTAGACTTTTGAAAGTGGATATCTACTTTTCAAACCCCATTTATTAAAGAGTATCCTTTTTCCAGAGTGTATTATTGGTCTTTTTTTTTCAAAATTAATATGGCTGATGGTGCTTGGAGTTGTTTTTGGATCCTCTGTTCCACTTCAGGATCAACATGACATTTTTTGAGTCAGTGCTATGCTCTTTTTCTTATTGTAGTTTCTTATCACAATATAACTTGACCTTCAGGATGTGATGCTTCCTGCTTTGCTGTTGTTGCTCAGAATTGTTTTTGTTATTCTGGGATTCTTGTTCTATAGACATTTTGCAATTGTTTTTTCATTCTTTATGTATGTTGTTGCTATTTTGAAGATAATTGCATTAAATCTATCTATTGTTTTTACTAATATGACCATTTTAACAATAGTCTTTCTGCCTATCAAATAATAGAAGATGCCTTCCCATTTTCTAATATCCACTTCAATCTCTTTTTTAGAGCCCTAATGTTTTTGTAACAGAGGTCCTCCACTTCAAAAATAAATTGGCAATTAAAATGCAAAAATACTTTACAGAAAAAGTATAAATGGCTAAGCACATGAAGAAGTCTTAAGCATCTTTGATGTTAGATAAATGAAAATCAAATCAACATTGAGATTCCATTTTTCTCATAAATAGCTGTTATTAAAAATTCAAAACGGTGGGGCATTTGGAGGAAAAGGAACACTTCCACAACACTGGCAGGAACGTAAACCACTACAACCATGTTGGAAATCAGTATGTACTTGTAGGAGGCACTCTGCCGTGTTTTACCTTTACATGCTAAACAGCGCTGCTATTATTTACAAAATGAGATGCAGAGGGGAAAATTCAATTTACTAAAGTCACTCTATCTAAAGATCAACACAATTTCATTCCCAGTTCTAAATAAATCAAATTATTTAACATTGCTCAAAATTTATTACTTCCTTCAAATACTAATTGAGCAATATTTTATAATCAGACATATTTTACTAAGACTATGAATGCTATGTGAAGTGTATGAGATCTAGTGAAATTTAAAGAATTCTATGTGATTCCAGACATTTTTATTTTTTCAAGTAAGAAAATATTTAGTGTTATCAATTTATATTCTTTAGAAATATTTATTATTGATTACAGAGTATTATTATTATTATTGGTTACAATTTTATAACATCTAAAATCACCTTTTATTCATTATGCAGTGATATTGTAATAGTTTATCATAAATTTGTCTTGTGGTATGACTATTTACTGAAAGAACTTAGAACATGTGTATTTGTAGCTTCTAATTACCTTTGCACAGAAATAGTAAAAATAATTTCAATTTATCTCAAGTTATTATATGCATAAGTCTTAAAATGATTAAAAGAAAAAGACCACAGATATAAAAGATATATTTATGCATGCATATGTAGAGATAGAGATATATAATAGGAGCTGCACTATGGCAGTTGCCGTATGTGCTGAGGCACATGGGAAATTTTATAGCATGCTGCCTTCAAGCTGCATAACTACCAGGAAAGCCAGTCACATAATTCAACAAAGTCCCTGTTCTGGAATGTAAGGGAGCCACTGCTATAACTGCCATTTGGAGATCAAAAGTTTAAGCATAAGATGAGGGGAAGGAGGAATTCAATTGTAAGTCCTGGAGCCCAAAGGGTGAAAGACAAAAACATCCAGTAGAGGGTGCTCTGGAAACAGGATTGATGGAGAGTCAAGAAGTGGGCCCCCCCCACCCCACCCCACCACCCGCACCTGTCAACTGATGCTTTTTTCAGATTGTGTTCACCTTCTAGACCACCAACTCCCCAGCTCTCTGGATATCACCGCCATAAATCTCTACTTTATTCAGCCTGACATTGCCATTTCTTTTGAAGATATCAAAATAAAAATTCTGCTACCTAAATAAATCTTTAGCAATGAATCCAATAAAAGGACTAGTGTGCAATCAAAGAGACTGTTGAAAATCTTATATGGAAACCATTCTGTGATTCTGCAACAGGTGGTTCTTTTCCCATCAGCAAGCAGAAGATTTGCTGTTCTCCCATGCAGTTTTAGTTAAATGATATTCCCTTGAATATGAAGATTTTTTCTTGTTAAAAATAAATCTTTTCCTCAAAGGAAGAAAAGGAGCTTTAGAAAATAATTCAGCTGCAATCCAAATGACATTAGGCATATGCTAGCTGGGGACAACCTGGTTACTCCATGTTGCTCTGGTTTCAAAGCAGCTGCAGATTAGCTAGAAACACAGAAAGCTGCTCTACTGTTTCTCTGAGTGACTGTCGAGAAGAGAGGTTTAAGTTTCCCACTGGATTTTTTTTTGTTTTTTTGCGGAACCAGGGATTGAACTCAGGCCCTTGCGCTTGCCGGGGAAGCATTTGTTCCACTGAGCCATCTCCCCGGCCCCTATTTTTTTTTTCAAGACTCTGTCATTTTATATTTTTTCAGTCCTAATTTTTTTTGAAAAAGAAAAACTAAGCCATAAATATCAATGTAGGATAATGAATGTCCACAATATTTACCTCTCACATCCCTATGACTTTTTCTGATCTATTTTTTTTTTCAAATTATACTTTGGTTTCTTCTACGTGTTGTACACTGTTTTAAATGTAGCTCAAGTTGCTGTTTATTGCCTACCTCTCTGTAAGATATTCAGGAGCTCGTACTAAAAAACAAGAATTAATTCTTTGGTTCTGAATGCTTGTTTTTCTTGGTAATCATGTTCCAAAATTATGTAATACCACTATTTGTTTTCTTGTTTGGGTCTTTATTTTTTATGCCTTAAAGTGTCATAGGAGGCAGTTTCTTTCTATGTCAACAAGAAAAATGTATTAGGAATGTTAAAAGATTGTAGGAAAATTTAATTAGCAATTTTCTGGGCAACAGAAATTTTGAACTTTCTGAGATTTTAGTATATATAAAACTTAACCTCATTTCCTAGGCTATTAACAGGCACCTATGGGTCCCCAAAGTAATAACATTTATAAATAATACATTTAAGCAATGCTACTTACCATAAGAACATGTTTTGCTCTTTGTATTTTAAGCCACAGTTTTCAGCAATTTTTAGTATGTAGAGTACTTATGAAGTAAAATTAATGAATAAATTGTAGTGTTACCACTTAATCCTTCGCTAGAAATGCAAGTGAAGTTTGTTTGAAAGTCCTTTGTTCACTTAACAAGTTCTCCTGAAGTGTGAACTTGTCCCACGATGTGGAGTCTATGGCGGCAGAGAAAAACATTTATTTTTCACATGCAATTCTTAGTGATGGGATAGTCATGTATTTTGTTGTTCACTCCAGTTTACAAAGAGGAGAGACGAAATGCTTTGGAAATCAACTGACTCACGTTACTGAGCTCTATAGAAATGCTAATTGTGACCTATAACAGAATTTGTTGAGACCTGTGATTGACGTTTCCTATTATCCTTTATGTTTTTGTTTTTTCTAACATGTTTGCAAACTCCGTTCTTTCTTTCTCCATGCCTGTATGTTCTTCTCCACTCTACAGATCTAGTTGCATGGTCCGTTTTCTATTCAGTTCTGCACAGATGAGGCAGCTAGAGGCTCATTCTTAAAATGACAGTTCACTGTGTCATGCCCAAAATACCTTAAAAAGTATTTACTTTCACTCTGATAATACTTCTTACAAAGCAAGAGCAGAAACACATTCAAGGATGGTTCACCAAATTTCTACTGTCTTATTCCAACTGAATTCCTAAATCATCTTACTATTAAGTAAACAATATATAAAAATTCTTATTATGAATAAATGTAAAGTTAGACAAAAAAGAATTGGTACTCAGATTTAAAGATATGGATATTTAAATCAAACACGTGATGTTCAAAAATCTATTGCATGGCATGCCTATTTTATTTTCTTAATTTTTTTATTACTATGCTATAATTTCATTACATTTATTGAAATAATTATTTATAATAAGTGATGCTAAAGTTTTATATGGTATCAATAGTAGCTAGTAGATGATCATTGACCACAAGGAAATACGATTACCTGCATTTTATGTGCTTAGCAAAATAACCATGTCACCACATAGAATAGGAAAAAAACATGGCCCTGAAAGAGAAGTGGAAAGAATGACATAAACACTTAAGGAGAAAAATCCGTGTGCACAAATATAATTATTCCTAAAGAGATTTCTCAGTATTTGAGCTAGATGAATGTTGTGTGTTTTCTAGGCTTCCTTAGACATATGGAAAAAGTGTGAACCAAAGAAATTCTGTTGTTTCCTAATATCGCAGAACAAATTGTGGGCTGACACCTGGTTTCCAGGTTCTTATGCAGTGGCAATTTCATGAACATGGAGAAGTCTGTCTAAAAATGTATTCCGTATTACTTCGATGCTGTTTCCAACAGGGAGACCCACCTGCAGCTGTGCACTGGGGTTTACTGGGCCGAGCTGCGGTAAGACTGTCTGTGAGGACTTCTGTCAGAATGGAGGGACCTGCATCGTGACTGCTGGGAACCAGCCTTTCTGCCACTGCCAGGCTGAATATACGGGGGACAGATGTCAGTACTGTAAGTGAAGACACCTCTGGAAGCCAGCTTCCATGCTTACATCAAGTGGTTTTCTCATTCCTCCTTCTATTACCTTCACTTCAAACATCTTCTGTTTTCAGGTTCAGTACTTGTAATACTTCTGTAATTATTTATATTGATATTCTATCTTTGTCTGAATATTTTCTTCTTCTTCTTCTTCTTCTTCTTCTTCTTCTTCTTCTTCTTCTTCTTCTTCTTCTTCTTCTTCTTCTTCTTCTT